ATGGGCCTGCTGTCCTAGTGATAGCCCGGGCCTGCTAAGGGCAGTAACGGCTAAGGGGAACTCGGGCCTGCAATTTTCCTGGAAATTGCAGATATGTCCCTCACAAATTTCCCTCAGGACTCAACTGGTGGTTAGTCCCTGACACAAACAAAATTACGAATCTGACCCTAAGACGCGACTATACAACCTCGCAGTCAGATCTCGACAGTAGAAATCAGCAAGCCATTGCAGACTTACCCCCCGGGGGAGCGAGGACCTCCGAGCTAGGAGTGTAAACGAGGAGATCGGCGAGGAAGGTTTACCTTTTGGGCCGCCTCGTAGCGTAAAACTACAGACTTTGTTGTCTTGAGAAGTTCCTTCCGAGTAAACCATCGGTCCTCTGTATGAGGCTGGAAGCAGAACTTCACAAGATACTGTCGGTCGGGGCCAGTGCCCCACTCATCCTCAATGGACTCCACATCATATCCCTTACCAGGGATCGGTGGGCCAAATTGAGGGGGCCGGTCGGGAAATGCATCAGCTGAAATGAAAGGAAGCAGCTTAGATGCATGGAAGACCGGGTAGGTCTGTAGATGCAGTGGGACGTCGATAATGTACGACGGGCCAAAGGGATCGGAGCCCACTGTATCCAACACTTGCCATGGACCCAGGTATCGTGGCATTAGCTTATAAGAGATATCCTCCTCCTTCGACAACTTTAAGCTGGCTACCCAGACGTAGTCGCCTGTATGAATAGGGGGAGGACGTCGGTGGCGATTAGCTTGTTCTATCATGGCCTTTTGGGCCTTGAACAAGTTCGCCCGTGCCCTTTCCACATCAACCCTGTATCGTCTGGCAAACTATGCAGTGCCAGGAGTCAGATCAAACTTAGCCTTATTGATGATATCATGAAGAGGTTGTCGTGGTTCACGTCCCCAATGCAAACGGTATGGGCTGAACCCAGTCAAGGAATGGATAGAAGTGTTATAAACAAGTTGTGCACGTGCCAGGTGGAGATCCCAGTCATGTTGATCTGGAGAGATGACAAGACGCAGCAGCTGGAATAAGACGTGGTTCATCACTGTTGCCTGACCATTGGCTTCAGGATGACGACCAAAAGTCATGTCCAATCGCGAGTGCAGGTAGTCCTTACAGTAGGACTGCCACTTATTGCTGCAGAATCGGGGGTCTCTATCGCTGACTATGGAAGTGGGCGGTCCATGGTGAGTAACCCACCTCTGTGAGAACGCTGCTCCCATAGCGGGGACCCTAGCTACCTCTGGCAAGGGGATGAACTCTGCGTACTTAGAGAACCTGTCAACACAGACCATTACCTGACGC